CCACATGACCTCTGCCCAGCCCCAGGTGCCTGCCCAGTTTGGCTGGTCCAGGAGCCCCTGGAGGGCAGAGTCGGTTGGCCCCTGGGTTCTAGAACTCTCCCCACTCAAGGCTTGCTAAAGTCACTTCCACCTCCATCCACATTCATCCTTCTATGGGTGAAGTGAGCGAGCTGTGACCCCCTCCCAACCTCTTCTCTCGTTTCCAAACAAGGAGATCCAGCAACAGGACCTCGGGTCCTCTGTGGCCTGAGAGCACTGTGCTGGGCCACTCGCCCCAGGGCTGGGCCGAAGAGGGTGGGAGGGCAGTGCTGGGAATCCACCCTTCACCGCCCCCCACCACTGCAGAAGTCCCTCCCCAGTGCTGCCAGGGCCGCCCAGCACCTTTTTCTCTGCGGGCCCTGCTTCCCCGTCCCTGAAAGGAGGAGCCGGCCAGGGGCATCTGCTGCAGGGCAGGACTGGGACAGCCAGGGCTGGACTCACAGCCTGGACCCCAGCAAGTCCTGGTGCTGTGGCTGCGGCAGACAGGACATGGGGGGGCCTGCCCACATGACCGCCCCCCACTCGTTGGGAGATGAGACCATAACGAGGCCCTGCTGGATGCGGAGACCCTGGACTCCCACCCTGGGCCAGGCGGTGCCAGACTCAATCTTACTCTGCTCCCTGGAGTGCCTTGGGAAGCCAAAGAGTCCCTGGACACCACATTCTTAACCAGACACCTAGGGAGACCCCTTAGGGATGGAGAGGACCACTGGGAGTGGACCCCAGGACCGGGCATAGATGGGTGGAAAGGGTGGAAGAGAGAAGGTCCCACTGCCCAGGCTCTCTGGCCCCCCCACAGCCCTAAGTTTGTAGTGTTGGACAGTAGGGAATCCTCACAGGCACCTGGAAATTCCCCTCCCTTGGGCCCTCCCTTATGTGACCCTGGCTGTGCAGCAGAGGGAAGCTTAGGAGATGAGCCATGGGAGGCGCCCCCATCCCATCGGACTGCTCCCACGGGCCCTCTCCGCTCTTGACCTGGCCAGGGTACCCAGGCGGATGGGCGGGCAGCAAGCCCAAGCCTGGCCCAGTTCCTGTCTTTGTTCCTTTATCTGCCTGGGCAGCATGGACCCTCATGCCAGCACCTCTGGCTGGAGGGTCTGACCCAACCCAGGCCAGAACTGGCACCTCCCAGCTGTAGCAGGGCCCAGGGCAGGGGGAGGGAATGTCCCTGAGGCCTGGCGTGCCAGCTACTGGACTCCTCTAAGGTGCAGACAGAGACACTGAGGCAAAGCGGGCTTGCGCACTCATGCTTCAGTGAGCTGCCCTGTCTGTGGTCCTCCTGCCCCCGGCGTCTACCTCTGTTCTTGCTCCACCAACACCTGGTGAGGGAGCCCTGCTGGTGTGGGGGGTCCCAGCTAAAACCACAGAGCATGGCGAGGAGATGCCGGGCCCCCAGGTGACACTGATCAGAAAGCCGGGGGTCCCTTCAGCCAGCGTGGCGGCAAGTGCCCCACCTTGTTCCTTGTGTAGCCCTGAAACCCAGCATGGCGCCTGGTGTGTACACAGCAGGTGCTCAAGTACCTGCTGAACTAGAGTGATCTCTGAGGCTAACACTAGGATGTGAGTCAAGTGGGGAGCAGGGTGGGTCACTCTGGGCAGCAGCCCCTGGGCTGGGATGGCCCCGGGCATCCTGTAGCCCCACCTCGGGCTGCGTCAGCACCGCCGGCTGGCGGCCAGCTGGAGCGAGCTGGGCTTTCAGCACCGTGGGTGTTGGCTCCAGCACCGACCAACCGAGAGGATTGACTGGGCATGCGGTGGGCACCGCGTGGGGGCCGGGGCAGGGGCACACGGTGAGGCCCAGGAGCCAGGCTTCTATTTCTGGCCTCGCCTCTGCCTCCTGTCTGCCCTTGGCTGTGCCCTTGCCTGAGCCTCGGTTTCTCTCTCTGGAAAATAGGGATGGACATATTTGCCTTTTACCCCAGGAGGTGTGAGGAGGCTCAGGAGAAGCTAGGAGCTGGCGGAAGGCTTTCCTGCCTCCTCTCCCGAGGCTCTGGGATGAGGACAAAACAGCACCCTGGGAGATTTCTCCCCCTTTCTCCTCCACTGCAGAGCAAGGGGGGGCACGACACTCCTCTTGTGCTGGGAGGGGCAGGGCACTGGGGACTGGGGGCTGGCCCCTTCAAGATTCATTAATCTGCTCTAAGGAATTCCACTTGGAGCGGGTGGAGGTATCTGAGGAATGAGTTATCTTACCTCCGCAGGCCTACGGGACGTGTCAGGGGACCTGTGGAGGGTGATTTAATAACCCAAAAAGGGCACTTGCTGCCTCTGCCTGCTTCTCAGGGCCCCGCAGGACCCCTTGAGCACATCCCCTCAAGCTCCAGAAGGTGAGGGCTGGGGAGGGCTGGTCAAGGGAGCTCACTGCTCTCCTCCCAGGGAAGCCCAAGGGGTGGGCCCCCCGGTCCCCCCCATACACGGGGACTTGGTGGGGTGAGGAGCTGGGCCTTGGCTGAGCCTGAAGAAGGGAAGTTCGGCCCAGCTTTTCACTCCAATATGGCTGCCAGGAAACCTGGCGGGCCTCCTAGGACTGAGTCCGCCCCACCCAGGGCAGGCGGTGAACAAAGTGACTGAGGGCCAGAGGGTGCCCGAGGTTGAGGACTCAGCAGGGATCCCAGTTCCCCGGGCCCCCAGCGATGTGACAGACCTGCGGACCACCGGGAGGAAGAAGGGGCTGCTCCAGAGAGGACCAGGCACCATGGGGTTTGTATTCCCAAGTGCAGAGATGCCAAATGCCGGGACCAGCCCCTCCCTCTGCAGCCCCTGTCCTGGTAGTCAAACCTTCCCCAGGGTTCCCCTGGACCCAGCAGGTGACCCAGCCACCAGTCACTAGGCCAACAGCAACCACCTCATCCCCCTGCTTTCTGGAACCCCTTCCACATGGAGACACAGAGAGCCGCCTGGGAGCACCGGCACCTGAGCAGATCTCAGGTCCTCAGCCCATCTGAGGCCCCAGAAGTTGCCCAACAATCTGTTCCTGGGGCCTGTCCTGTCCAGGGCAGGCCCAGGCCCACAGAGAGCAGTGGAAAGAAGAGCCAGAGCTAACACAGAGAGACGGCCTGCAGACCCTAGGTGACCCTGTCCCGGACCTTGAAGGTGCCCAGACTTTAACGTGCCTTCTCCCAGAGTCTAAGTGTCCCAGGCTCCAGGTTTTCCAGGTCTCCCTCCGAAGGCACCCACTGAGGGCAACCCCACGGCTCACTGCACAGTGTATCTGTTTTTATTGTTAGGTTACGGAGGATTATGAAAATGTTCTCACATAAGAAACAGAGCAAGAGCATGCCTATCGTCTACCTTAAGAAATGCCACCGTGTCCCTTCCTGGCCCTGTGGCCTGCCCTCCCACTCCCCCCCTGCTTGCCTCTCCCCTCTGCACTGGGGCCAAGTGCTGCTGGCATGGCACCGGGTGGTGCCAGGGCAGGGAGCGGGTCAGACACTTACCTTTGAAGGAGAGCCGGAGCCGGGGCGTGGCCTGGAGGAGGTCCTGAGTGGGGGCCGTGGGCCAAGCCCCTGTCAGCAGGGTAGCCCAGAGGAGGAGGCCAGCGACAGGCATCGTGGGAGGGGCCTAAGGCCCAGGAAGGAGGCTTGGCTCTCTCTCCAGACACCTGGGAGAGAGGGACCAAGAGTGGAGCGTGAAACAGACAAGAAAACCCCCACTTTCGAGCATCTCCCTAAGCCCAAGGCGCCTCAGTTTCCCCACCTGAACCAAACGGTGCCCACACTCACGGCCTGGAGCCACGTGTCCCCTCCCAATGTGCAACCCTCCTCCACAACGAACCTGAATGGGGGAGGCTGGACAGTCTGGGGTGTCGACCCAGCCAGGCCAGGGTGACGAGGGCCGCTGGAGAGCTGGACTCTCTCCATCCCAACCCCCTCCCCCAACACTGAAACCCGTTCACAGGGTCCAACCAACCGCAACTGGCCATCCTGGCTCCCTCCTCTGGCCTCCAACAGGCTCTCCCCTCTGCACGCCCCCGACCCTCCCTTTAGGAAAGGGCCCATTCTGGCCTGTCCCAAGGCAGAGAAAGCCGACCTGGACTGTTAGGACAGACGAGGCCTGAGAGCGAATGAGGGGCCAGCTGAGCAGGACACAGCCTGCAGGGAAATGGAGAGGGCCCTGGGCAGAGGAGGGGTGTGCTACAGCTACTAACACCACAGCAGGAGGGATCCAGGTTAGACAGGCAGAAGGACTTCCTGCCTGGGAAAAGTCTAGCCCTTCTTAAGAGAGGCAAAGAAGAGGAGCTAGCCCAGGGCAGCATCTGAGCCAGCCAGTCCCAGACACCCCTGTGGAGCCCCCAACCTGTAGCAGGTTCAAGTTCTGGTTCTGTGCTTTCCCAATATTGTCTCCCCAGGCAGGCTGGTTGTTGGGTAAACGCAGCCCAGCACCAGTTGTCAGAACATATTGCTCCCTCCCGGCACAAATCAGCGCCAACTCCCACCCCCACCCCCCCATCAGATGTGCTGGGGGTGGGGTCACCACCACGGAGGACAATGGGAGTCTCTTCTTCCACAGGGGAGACAGGACCTAAGGACCATCCCTAGGACCTAGCGGTAAAGGGGGGCAGTTTTTACGGCTTGCGCTCCCCTCCTCAGAAGCAGGTCAAATACTCAGGCCAGACCCTGAGACCCTCCCCAGACCCCTACCCCAACCCTTCCCTCTGCTGCCAAGGCAAACCACCCTGGTCCCTCAGATAGGAAGTGTGGCGCCCGGCCTCCGGGCCTAGGCCCCTGTGATCCCCTTGTGGGGAACACCCTTTCTTGAGTGCCTGCCACAGCACCTCCGGGCACAGAGCTAGTGCAGACTACATGACAGGTTCTGCTAAGGAGGCAGGTGGGCGGGAGGGCTGCACAGCCCCCATCACCTTCGGGGTGCACCTGGGAGGCCCCCACTAACAGATGTGGATACACACATGCATGCCCACACACGTCCTCACACGACCGAGTCTACTCAAGAACTTGACCTGCTAGTGGGGTGCAGCTGGGGGAGCCGGGAGGCGCTGTCCGGGTTAGCAAGGTGGCCAGAGCCCCTGGGAGAGCTTTGGTCCCACCCAGCAGCATCTCTAGTAGGTTGCTCCACCTTGTGACCTCATTCCTCCCACCTCTACTTTCATGGTGACAGGGTCAGGGCCACCAAGAACATGATGGGAGCCCTCCAACATGTCCAGAAAGGTGGAGGGGGCTTTGCCTTACTGGGGCCTCCCACCCACATGGATCTGGCCCTTTAAAGCAATGGACAGGGGACACTTAAGTCTGCAGGGTCCTCAGGCCCAAGTCTAGGCTGCCCCTACCCCCTTGGCAGCCTGGGGGTGAAGGGAAGGAAGGGGAAGGTGAGAGAGGGGAGGGCATTGTCTCCAGTCACTTAGATCTGTCAGCCCCGGGATGCTTTCCACGGAGCCCTGCCCCCAAGGTGCCTCAGGTCTGGCCAAGCCCAGGTGAGTGGGCACAGGAGGATCTGCCACCGCCACCTGGGAGCCCACCAGGAGAAGAGGCTGGAAGGAGGGGAGGCAGGCTGGCGGGAGGGAGCAGGGAGGCAGGCAGGAGGGAGGGAGGGAGGAGGAGAGAGGGAGGAGAGAGGGAGGGACGGAGGAGAGAAGCTGGAACAAAGGACCGAGGCGCTGGGGCCGACGAGGGGTGCAGGGAAGGGGTGGCCAGGGGAGGGGGTCCGGAGGCACCTGGGGGCAGGGCAGAGGGCCAGGTGGGCCAACTGTCCGGCTCAATCCAGACCTCCCAGCCTGGGAAGTGGGGGATGGGGAGCAGCCAGCCTCAGGGAAGGAAGGCTGGCTCCCGCGGGCTGAGAACTGCCTCTGTGATGGGGAGGCAGGATCGGGGCTGTAGGGGGACGTGGGGAGGGAATTATTCGCAGCTCCCCACCCCCTACCCAGTCCCTTCCATACCTCCTTCAGGCCCCAGCGCTTTTCCAGGCTCCACGGCCAGCCCCTCCCCCAACACCCCGTGGACCAGGAAGCGAAGCTCCCCAGTCTGGCTGGGACAGAACGCCCTCTGGTACTGGCCAGGGCTTTCCAGTCAAGGTCAGCCTCTCCATCCTCCCCCACGAAGGTATGCAGAGCAGAGGGGCCCTGAGGCTGGCTGTTGGCTTTCCCCCACCTCCCCCTCCCACTTCCGGGCAGGGTTCCTTCAGAGAGAGGGGTAGCAGCAGGGGTAGGCTTGTAGGGGTGTGTCCTCACTCTAGAGTCTTTATCCTCTTGGGGTCCAGAACCCCACCACCACCACCCCCCTCTGGGCAGCTTGGGAAGAGGCCTCAGACCCATCCAGCCTCCTGAGCTAGGTTGGAGGCCTGGATGCAGTTTCTGTTTGTCCACAACGAGGCGAGGGGATGCTGGGAGGTGATCCGGGTGAATTCAGGATAGGAGCCCCCCAACTCTAGGGCAGACCCCCAGCGTCCGGAATCTCGGTTCTCTCCCTACCCCAGGCAATGATAGGCAACAAAGCCACCTCAAGTATTCAGAGTTATTTAGCCAATCGGTCAGGCTCCTGGCTCTGGCTGGAACCAGCCTCTCCTGTCAGCCTCTCCTGCCAGCCAGGTCTCATTCCTGGGCCACCTTGCCACCCGCTGGTCTCACCTGCTGGGGGCCAACCCAACAAGTAAGCCCAAGAGTCACCTGCCCATCTCACAGCAAGGTCTGACTGGAGTTTGAAGACCCACAGGTCCTCCTCCCACCCTTGTTTCCCCCCTTCTCCCTCCCCACCAGCGCATCTACATCTCCCAGACAGCGGACCCTGAACCCAGGCTGAACTCCCTTGCACGAAAAGCAAAACCCAGCTGGCAATTGGGAGTCAGCGGGAGAAGTGTCCAGGGGCTGGTAGTCCTCCCGCCCATCGGACCTGGGAGCCCCGTCCCCGGCCCTACACGTGTGGGGCTGCCAGTATAATGCTTCTCTTCTGGTTGACCTGGTCCTCAGATGGGGATACCGAGGCAGGGCAGTGGCAGAGGCGCTGAAGGAGGGGACACTGAACAAGGAGAGGGGGTGGAGGAGTCCTGCCCCAGGACTGTGTGTGGGGAGCGGGGGAAGGGGTGCCCATTCACCCAACATCTGGCAGAAAAAGTTGCTCCCTGCCCTGGTGACCCCGTAGGCCACATCACTCACTCCCCCCTCCGGCCCCAGAGACACCGAGTCCCCGTCGCCAGGACGGCAACGGCGCCCATCCCAGGCCGGTTAGCCCCGTGCCTGCGGCCAGTCACCCAGCCCGCGGAGGGGCTCTGCGCCCCGGACACTTGTGCGGAGTTGCGGCGCCGCGAGTCCCGGAGGGGACGGGGGTGGCCCAGCCGGTCGCC